AGGCGTCCACTATAGAGAGGTGTCCACTATGAGAGGTTTTACTGTATGCACATACAATGTTATAGTGGAAAAGTTCCAACATGAATTGGGAAAAACAATATATATGAAGGAAAGATGAAACTAGGAAATGTCCAAGATATCCGTATAGTGACTATAAGGGAAAATTCCATGAGTCACTACCAGAAGTGTAAGCCGAAGGGTAAAACGGTTGCTGTTTTAATAGTCCAATTTTTTGTCCATGGCGGTGGCGCCTACTAGACTCTATGTTTTTTTTTACACCTGCAGCAGCGACTTTAATTGTAAAATTTCTTTTTCCATAGCAGCGGCGGCTAATATACTTTATGCTTTTTTGCACCGGCGGCGGGTTTGACAACCAAAAAAGAAATATTTTTGCTCCTAAAAGACAAGAAAATGACCGATCGCATATGTATCGATGTCAACGGTGGTGCATCACGCTATTATCGAAAATTTTCGTTCGTGGCGGCGGCGGAACGACTGAACTAACTTCTTCACAGCGGCGGCGGCGGCGTCGGCGTAGCTGAATGGCTTACACCTCTAGTCACCACATGATATGTTCGTTCTCTTTCGTTCTGCCGGGTATTTTTTTTTCTAGTGTATCCTCTTTAAATTTTCCTGTGTTTTCTTTCTTTCTTGCTTGGCGGTGATCATTCATATATTTTTATAACTGTATTGTGTTATCTATTAGTATGTTCCAATTTGCTTCTAATATCTAATATAAATACCTGTTGTTTCTATGTAATGTCAGAGGAATGATTAGAGAAATTAACTGATTCAAACTTAATATAGCAATTTACACATACAAAAACATATATCGAACATAATATTAATCTTCTTATTAAAATTTATAGACTAAAATTCTTTTCTTTTTAGACTTCAATGATGAATCAAACTTCAACTAATCCATCAAATGCTATGATATCAACTCAACCTCAACAAACAGTTGATAACGAGCTAATATTAAATCAAACGATTGCTTCATTATCAATCAACAATCCTGAACAACAATATACTGATGTTCAACGAAAACAATTTATTCAAAAACAAATTGTTTTATTATTACATGCACAAAAATGTCAACAACGTGAAAACCAAACTATTAATGATGAAACAACACGTCCAAATACGTGTACATTACCACATTGTAGTACTATGAAAAATGTTTTACAACATATGACAAAATGTAATGATCATACAACATGCACTATTCCTCATTGTGTTACTTCACGTCAGATTATTTCACATTGGAAACAATGTAATAATTCTCAATGTTCAATTTGTCAACCACTTAAAACACCATCAATCTTAGCTCTATTATATCGAACAACAAATAATAATATTAATGCAACAAATGCACCAATAACAATCAATAAAGAATGGCAAAGATGTATTACACAAGAGATACGTCAACATCTTGCACAAAAAATTATAACAGCACTTATACCAATAACTAATACGGATGCTATTCGTGATATACTTATTATTTATTTAGCTGATTATGCTCGATGTATTGAAAATGAAGCGTTTGAAATAGCTGATAGTCGTGAAGAATATTTTCATAAATTAGCTGTAAAAATTTATAAACTTCATAAGGAATTAGAAGATCCTATCAATCAAAATATCGATTTTAACTAATACCCAATAATATAAATGCAGCAATACCATCAAAAACTAATCATACAATGAATAAATGAATAATTTATTCAAGAAAATTTTTTGATTGTATTTTAATAACGAAAAAGAATAAACAGATTATAATAATAATAAATGACGAAATTGTTTTTGTCTTTTTTTGTTGTGTTGAATTTTCTGTCATATTGTTGCGACCATGTGATGACCAACGATAACGATAATACCCATAGTAATGTAGGATGAATAATGCAAACAGGACGTGAATGAGCTTGTTTATGAATATTTGTAATTTCACTAGATCAGCACGAAAGAAGAGTTAATATGTTGAAATAGCAAAAAGAGTTGCAATTTGTTTATTGTGATTATATGCCGTTCCTTGTTGTTGATGTTCTTGTTGCATGCGCTTTGATGTTTTTGTCGTATTGGTGCGGAGAGAGAAACATTCATACCCACAAATTTTTCTTTTCTTTTAGCTGCTCGCGTGCAATTTCTTTATTTTTTCCGATGAAGAAAATTACATGTGAGCATTATGACGGATTTTTTCTTCACCTATCAACAGACGGATGTAAAAATATATGAAGTGTTCGTGTCGTGAGTAATGAATTATTGGTAGGCACTGGAGAGTGTGGGTGTGAGTGTATATCGATTCCATCACATCTCTTATAGACATCCACACTCAATCGAGAAAACTTTCACTATCATCGATGTACAAGCAATGATCCTCTCAATATACGACTTATTTCAGTGCTAAGACCATCGGATATCTATTGGTTGGGTGTGGATGTGGGTGTGGGTGTGGGTGGGTGTCGGTGTGGGTGTGGGTATGGGTGGATGTCGATGTGGGTGTGGCTGTGTGTATGCCTGTGGCTTTGGATGTGGGTGCGGGTATGGCTGTGAGTGTGGGTGTGGGTGAGTGTGTTGGTGTGGGTATAATTGAAATGAATATCGCGCTCACAACCACACTCCGCACTGACACTGACACCCACACTCACAGCCATACCCGCACCCACACCCACACCCATTCACACTCACCCACACCCACACATCCACACCAGCCACACTCACACCCACACCCATACTCACACCCACACACCAATACCCACACCCCCCACACCCACACACTCCAAAGTTGACTTTTGTGGCCGTATCCTCTATAGAAAGTCTGTTTGTGTGTGTGGTGTATGTTCATTTATTGACATGCATAAAATAAACCATTTCACTTATAACTTAGGAAAGACTTTGTGTATGTGTGAATAGTTACTTTATTTTATCTCTTTCTCTTTCGTTTTTTTATGAGTAGTTTTTTTTCGACGACTCTAGCACAATCTGGAAGAACGACTCTTACCTACAGATAAAATGCATGAGACAATAGTCCATACTTCTGTGATACCAATCGATATGAATACCTTTTTTTAAAATTAGTTGGTGTTGTATGTTTTCGAACGAACTTATCATAGAGACATTCATCTTGCAAGTTAAAATCTTTCAAATTGGTATCGGTTGCATACAACAATTGTAAAGTAGTTTTTTTTTTCTTCTATTCTCTTGTTTCTGTCCACCAAAGTATATTTTTCTTTTGCTCATCATCTTACTCACCTGACTTGCCTTATAGTTTACCTTTCAGTGTACGTGTAAAATTATCAGAAGATTGTGCGGTGTATAGCATCTTTTCAACTAAAAGAAAAAAAACTGCAACAAAGTGTGACTTCGACGATCTCTAACCGTTCCAGTAAGTATGTGTTTCGCAAAAGAAAATAATATTGTTAGTGTTCTATGTAAACTTGTCACTTCTATCAATAGAGTTAAAACTACTTGTTGCTTTTAATTTGATTTACTTGAGATATCTTATTCGATGGCAGAAGTTACATGGCTAGAGTAGTGCACCATACATTCACTTTCTTTGTTCTCATTCTATTATCAGCGCACATGACTGTCTATTTGTAAATAAATGACAAACAGGCAAAAATCTATTCTTTCTACATTTGACAAAAATAACATGAAATTTTAAATTCAAAAGTAGTCAAGATGTTAATACTAGCGAGAGCCCGTGCATACGGCACGGGATGCTTTTTTCCTGTAAAGTTTTACATCTGACCTTTAGCCTTGATTCGGTAATAGACAATCAGACAGTTCGCATTATATATAGAGAGAGACCCAATAGCCTTATACCCTCGTAGCCTTATCCCTTGTAGCCTTATACTCTTGTGGTATTACTTCGTATAGTCTTATTCTGTTATCCCCTTATCCCTTATATCCCATGCAGCCTCATCTACTTATCCGCTATACCCTTATCTCCTTACTAGCGAGAGCCCATGCATACTGCACGGCTGTGTTCTCCTTCAGTGTACGACCTCAGATGTTTAACTTGTATATGCGGTAACAGACATACAGACACTCAAGATTATGTATACAGATAGCTTTTGGTTCTAAAATGCTAGAAACTTTAACCTTTAATCTTTAACCTTTGAAGTTTGCCCTTTGACCCGACAGAGAAACACACAGACACACATACTGAACATTATATATATATATATATATAGGTACTCTTTTAGCTTTATCGCTTATGCCCTGTAGCCTTAGCCTCTTATCCCCTTTACCCATATATCCTTATCCTCTTATAGCCTTATACTCTTATCCCCTTAGCAGCTTATAGCTTCATATTCCTGTAGCCTTATCCGCTTATCCCCCTACACGTTTATAGCCTTATAGCCCTTAAGGACCTATGCATATCTTCATATAATAGCTTTTGAGGACATATGAGTATCCTCATATAACAGCTCTTGTGGACCTATGAGTACCAGGGCTCGAAACGGGCCAATTTTTGATGGCCCAGCCCGGCCCATACCGGGCCAAGAATAGTTCATGCCCGCCCGGCCCAACCTCTTCTATATTAGAGCCCAGCCCGGCCCGC